AGAAGAAGAAGAAGAAGAAATGTGTAGTAGAATATTAAATTTTTAAGCTGGGCACAGTGGCACAGGTTTGTAATCCCAGCACTCTAGAAGCTGAGGCAGGAGGATCATCACAATATTCCTTGGCCTTTTTTTTTTTTAACCACTAGCTACAGCAGCTCTCACACTATGAACCTCACAGGGCAACAATGACCTCATTCAATATTCAATTCCCTAACTTGTACAACCCACCATTAAAATGACCCTAGGCTAGGTATAAAGTCCTACAAATATCATGTACAGAAGCCTACCATTTTTATTTTTGGCAGTGCTGGGGCCTGAACCTGTAAAGACAGGGAACCCCCAAAGATAGGGAAAAGATAGGATGAAGAACTCATTGAACTTTGTGAAAAGGTAGTGGAGAGATTTACTAAGGGTTGCTAGACCTGGTTTACTAGAGGCAGCTTCTGCCTCTGCAGATTAGACTCAAGCAATTAGATGAGACAGCTAGATTCAAGTAATCAGAATGACAAAGACAAAGGAACTAAATTTAGTAAGATCCCAAGTGGGGTGATTAACATAAGAACCTCACACGTCCCCTTTATTAATCCTTAAACCTAAACTACTTATCCATAAGTCCCACCCCCATAATTTTATCCCTCAACAATGGACCTGAGGAAGACCCAGGGGAGGATCAAAAAGAGCCAGGTAGCTAATCAAATTCCAGAAGCCTCCACAAGGAGAGAAAATCCAGTAAAAGAGCTGCAGGGAAGCACTCATGAGTATTTCATCTTGGAGTGCTTCCTAATCATCCAGAGTAGCTACCTATCATCTCTCTTGTCCCCATTTTTCTCCACCTTCAAATAAATCATCTTCCATTAGGGCTGTGGGATTTTCTTTTTGTTTTGTTTTGTTTTTTGAGACAGGGTCTCACTATGTAGTTCAGACTGCTCTAGAACTCATTGCGTAGCCCAGGCTGATCTCTAACTGTAGTGATCCTCCTGCCTCAGCCTCCTGAGTGCTGGGATTACAGGCGTGTGCCACCATGCCCGGCCAGGGCTATGGGATTTTCATGTAGAAAGATGGGATACTAAGGCTTTTTTCCCAGGAAACACTTTTATTCATGCCAACACTGACTCAGCAGATTCATATCCAAGGCTGTGTCAGATGATTTGTGCCCTTTTATATAATTGTTATGTCTTTGTCTCCCTTATATGGGCACGCACTAACATTTCACCACCTGGTTGAGTGCATATTAACATTCTACAGTCTGATCAGGTATGATTTATGTTGCAGAGTTACATCAGAACTACACATATGTATATAGAGGCTGATATTGCTGCATTGTAAAAAGTTCCTGCCCCTGCACATCAGAAGGGGCCCTACTACATTCACTGTACTTTTCCAGCAGAGCAGCAGCTTACAGTCCACATCTAGATGATACATTAACTCAGTCCATGTCTAGATGTAACAAACCCAGGCCCTCTGGCATACTGGGCAAGTGCTCTACTGTTTGACTTTGATCTTTCCAGATACTTGACTCCGTCAAGGCAGCATCCTGTCTGATTATATCAACCCTAAAAAATTTAATTTTGCTTCATCAGTTGAGCCCTTTGGTGGTCTTTTGATAGAAGGACAACAAATTAATCAGGGAAGTCCTGGTTTAACCCAAGTCGTTCACCCTCATCTCCTTCCTTTCGAAGGAAGCTGTCCTCTGCTCTCCCGGAGCTAGACCTTTTTGATTTCCATGGAAATGGCACCCAAAGAAATTACAGAAGCAAAGAGATGGGCCAAGTCTACAGCCAGGGAGAACAGTGGGCCAAGTTCCAGAGAAAGTACTGTGTGCTTCAAAGGAGAATCTGGGAGAAGGAATGTTAGGGAGGATAAAGTCAAAGCCTTATGGTCTTTGTCTCCTTTCAGCCTGTGATGTGTGCATCCTTAAGATGTATGTGTCTTTATGATACATTTTAGGGGTCTGGGCCAGAGTAACAGTTGTGCTTATTACAAAAAGCAGTGTTGAACAGCAGTTTGAGAACAGAACTTGCCACTTTCCATTTTTAAGTAGATCTAAACAGAGGCCAAGATGGGCCCTGTCTTGTTACTTGGCATTGCACAGTGTAGCTTGTTTCTTATCCACGTGTAGGGAACAGGGAGTGAGGATGTTACTAGAACATCTGCATTAGGTCCTAGTCACCTGTGAGTCACGACAGCACAAGGTGAATTAATTAATATGTAGACAGAAATGAGACTTAGACAAGAAGATGAGCTTTGGCCTGATCAATGCTGCTCTGGGAAGAAAGACCCCAGATGCCAAACTGGTCACACTTTAATTCTGAACATCAGCAGAAACAAAAGTAGCATGTGACTCAGAGGGAGTGGTGGCAATAATCCTAGAACAATGAGAAATTATGCAAATGAAGATTTGGTTCCTCCAAGGCTATCTCCAGTTGGTGTAGTCCTGCCCTGGAGCATCATAGCATCACCATACTTTTGAGATGTAGCTATGACTGGAGGCAAAAGGAGTTATGTCTCAACATGCCATAGCTGGCCTTTAGGCAGAAAAACTAGGCCCTAATCATGATTTAATTGTGAAATTATTTTTTCCCAATATCATGTAGAATTGCTCCCAACATCCATGGTTCCTGAAGCACTGCTCCTATAACTTGTAATCTAGAGAAATAAAGGTGTCTTTTCCTCAGATACTTGCCTTTCTGCTGAATGATGGTGCACACCTATAAATCCAGCTACTTAGGAAGTTAAACCAGGAGAATCATGACTACAAGTCCAGCCCAGGCAATTTGGTAAGACTCAATTTCAAAATCAAATTTTAAAAGTGATGGGGGGCCGGGGATTTAGCTCAGCGGTTCCGTGGCTTGCCTTACAAGTGCAAGGACCCGAGTTCAATCCCCAGTACAAAAAAAAAAAAAAAAAAAAAAAACACAAAAAACAC